AATTCGAAGTGCGTCACCCCTGGTGTACATGTTATGTGTTCGGTCGCCAACAAGAAAGGAATTTTACCGAACATAGGGAACGTTATCAGGTCGGACAAATTCGCCCGTGGTAGTATTCAAACCAGGAGCTCAACTCTGTCTCCTTCGGTACCAGCCGGCAGTAGTGTTAGTGTACGGTAGGAACCGATATAAAAACGGGACAACAACTACTGTCTGCCTGTGGAGCCTCTCCACTAGTAAGAGATGCAATGGGTCTGGTCCATGAATTGGGGGGCTTCTTTAATCAATCTGGGAGGTTCAAGTTGATTTTCCAGAATATTGCAAAATCAGAGCATGGTTCAACTTTCACCTCATTGAAGCCTCTCTGTCCCACCAGGTGGACTGTACGTACCCCTGCCATCCGCTCAGTTCTCAAGCAGTATGAGTCAGTGCTGATGGCCCTTGAAGAAATGGCATCATGCAGCTCACCTGAAACTTCAGCCAACGCCAATGGTCTTCATGGAACATTTCTTAAAGGGAACACTGTGCTCGGCCTTTTAATGGCTGAAGACCTGATTGGGGATTTGGAGTGCCTGAACACCTCCCTGCAGCTTAGGAAACAGACCGTTTCAGGCATGTTGGAGGCTGTAGACCATGTCAAAACAGCATGCAGGTCAAACGAACGGAGGAGCATTTTGATGTATTGTATCGAAAGCAACTGCTGTGGCAACAAAGTTGGACCTACAACCAATTCAGATCCCTCATGTCCGCAAACCTACAAAGCGTTACACCGGTCAGGCTGCAGCCCATATCCCTCCCGATGCCCAGTCCTTGTACAGAGTCCAATTCTACAATGCCTTGGACACAGTGAATACTCAATTCATAGAGAGGTTTGAACAAGCTGGATTCCACAAGCTGCAGTAGCTTGAAAATGTGCTGCTACACGGAGACATGGACAAGGTGGTAGAAGAGTATCCTGAATTGAATTCAAGACTACTGCAGGTGCAGCTGGCCATGTTTGGGGCTAATTACACCTATGAAACAAGCTCAGATGTTGCTAGCATTATTCGGGAAATGGTGCCAGAGGTGAGAGGTCTCTTCGGGCAGGTGGAAGCTTTAGTAAGGCTTCTGTTGGTCGTCCCTGCCTCTTCTGCAGAGGCTGAGAGGAGTTTTAGTGCCCTGAGGAGGCTTAAGACATGGCTTAGATCATCGATGAGTCAAACGAGGCTGAATAATGTGGCCATATGTCATGTGCACCAGAAGAAACTGGACAGACTGGACCTTGAAGGAATATGCCAGTCTTTTATCAGTGCCAACGATAAGCGCAAAAGGGCTTTTGGGTCCTTTACTTGAGGGTTGGGCTTTTTGGGCGGGTGTCTGGGAGGAAGTTGGGGGTCTTTTTGATTTTGAATGAGCGGCAAGCAGCTAGTGCGAGTCGTGGCTGTAAAACAAAGGGGCAATAAAGTGTTCCTGTTTCTACTGAAATTGTGTGGCACAGACCTTTCTATGGAAATGCTTTAATGTGATTATGGTTATAGTTGTACTTTATTCATCCCTAATCTCTGCCATTACAAACAACAAAACAAGAAAAGCTAAACTAGATAAAATAGGGCGATGTAATACAATGGACAATTAGACATTATGGTAAAACATTTTAACCAGTTAAGCCCCAAGCCTGTTTTTCAGGTCTCAGGTTTGAAAATGACATTCCCAGAACAATTGACTATATCTTCACTTCTAAAAATGATTAAATGAATAATCTTTTTTCTCAAAGCAATGATAAACCTGTGAGTTGGATGTAGAAAAAGTCAGAATAAATATAGATGTTTTTAAAGTAAATTCAGATTGAACATAGTAAAAAAATGTAAATGATAGTGTCCGTGCAAAAAATAAACCATTACTTATTGTGAAAACCACTCTTGAATGATGGGATAGTAAAACTATAATCCAAACTATAACATATAATAAGTACCCTGTATCAAGATTGATGCAACACAAGTATTTCCAAGGCACACCTTTATACAGTATGTTCATTATAGTTATACAAAATAAGAGAATAAGAGAATAACAGGTATGAAATCATTCCAACTCATACTACAGTTTAAAAAGGGAGTGATTTGTAAAATATGCATAAAGAAAAAGTAAATCTGTTCAGTTCTGTTTCACATGGGTGTTGATGAGATGTATCCATAGATTTAGTCCCTAATGTTGCTCTCAAAGTGCACCAGATTGATGCTTTTAACTTCAACATTTAAAAAAATATCTTCCCGGGGGAGCCCCCGGACCCCCCTAGAGGAGGTTAGGTCCCCCGCCCGCCTACACCACCCGTCAAATTGTCCCACCCACATTGAGGATGCTTCCTACACCCATGCCTGAGACACAGTTTCGTGACTATTGTTGTGTTTTGCCCCCATGGGCAGGGGCATGGGGTTTAACAGGTTTTAAAGTATCCAATGTGTTCGTGATTTTTTATGTATTTTCCTTTAGAATGGCAGGAAATTAGTATTCCAATTTTTATTGAATTTTTGGTCCCCCCCAATGTTGACTCCATGAATACGGCCCTGCAATAGAGACACAGGCCACCTGTTGTGTGCTGTGTAAATCTCTCTCTGTTTACCGTGTCTCTCTCTCTCTCTGTCCCTCTCTCTCTCTCTCTCTCTCTCTCTCTCTCTCGCTCCCCCTCTCCCCCTCTACGTGTCAATTCTACATGCCAACTTTTCTTGTTTCTGCCGTTGCGTAGCATGTTGTAACAACGTGGAATTAGCAGAATAGGCTATTGTATTGTTTAACTCACACCTGTTGCTCTCGATGTAATTTAGCTGATAAAAGGAGACTAATAAAAGCTAATTAAATCCTCACGCGTGGCGTTTCACTGTCAAGGGGTAGGGGTGCGATATAGCGTGTATGTAATTACATTACAAATACTGACTTGATCCCCACCACTGGATGGGTTAGCCGTACCATAGATTACCCAACAAAAAATACTCTGGCGCCGCCACTGAATATAATAGTCTGGAAATGATTTAGACTGTCATGAGATTTGTTGTTCCCCTCTAAAAACAATCAATAAAATCAATAGATCAGCAACCAATTGACAACCACCTTCTCTGATTAATCATTCGTAGTAAATAGTTTATTCCACAAAACCTCTTTAATGATTAATCAATTTAACAAGAAACACGTTACAAATAACTGGCCAATTCTTCATTCATGACTCATCTACCCTTTAAGCAATCCCATGATGTACCAATCTCACAATGAGAAAGAATAAACAAACAAACAAATGTTTTGGTGTGTAACATACTTTTTTAGGACTTTGGATTCTTTCACACTTAATCAAACCTGGGATCAAACTATGCACACAATTAGAATACATCGGATGTAACATTCTTCCCCCAAAAAGGACATACAACTTTGCATTAAACCTATAAATCTGTGCTCTATTTCCCACATTATATGGCTGTACATTAAAGTCAGTTTTCAATATGTATTCCTCTAAATGAATTATTGTTGTTGTTCACCCAGTCCTTTCCTTGTTTGCATACTATTGAGTTATTTTGCCTTCATGTGAAAGTTGATTTGTACATGTAAGTGCACACTCTCAAAACCTCACATAACTCTGGTTTCTCTCTTGGAAGATCTATGTACATGCACATGTGGTTCACAGTAAACAGACTCAACGCAGCTCAAATGTCAAGGATGCCATTTATCCTGAGAAATATCAGAAGAAATCAGCGTTTGTGATGGGTAAGGTCAAGTAAATCCTTTGAGTTTTGTATTACCAAAGAAGCAGGCTCATGTCTGGGTACTTTCCCCCTCATCAATGCAAATAACTTGCCCTAGATGCTAGCTTTAGCCCATAAAAGGAGGACAAGCTTTTATCGTCCTCCTTCAGCTTGTCACAATGGGGGCTAGAAGAGAGGCTGGGGAGGTCTATAATAAATACACATGCATGCATTCTTTACCCCCCACTCTCAAAGGCACGCATAAACACACTGAAGTGACCATATGTCTTGTTAGTTTCCAAAATAACACCTGCAGGGTAGGCAGGAAGTTTAGCTCTTAAAAGAAGTAATCAAAAACAGGCCGCTACAGATTACACAAACACATGCTGCAACAAGCACAAGCCTGCCTCCTGCATGCTGCTGCTACCCAGCAAATTAATATGCTGAACAGCACACCGGCACATGGTGGCTCGACACCCCCTCCTCCTTCCCGCATTCACACAAAAAATTCCAAACAAAGAAATATAAAAAAAGTGCAACAACAGTCGGTTGGACGTTGAGAAAGAGGCAAGATGTGAGAAAAGCCAGAGAAGAGAGAGATGCAGATGGGAGAGTGGAATGGGAGGCACTGAGGGGAGAAAAAGAGGGGGTGTTTAGGAGGAGGGGAGAGTCAACTTCAGACAGTGAGAGCAGAATACTAGTGAGCACACGGTTCGAGCAGACAAGGAACAAGAGAGGACCAACTCTTGGTATACCCACCAACATCAAGCAGGTACAGTAAACCCTTTTTAAAACACTTTTCTTTACTTTTCAGTCACTTTTAATCCTGGGCTGATGTGTGTGTCGACCACATGCAAAACACTGGAGTGATTTAATGTTTATTCTGAGAGTGTTAGTCATCAGTTGCACTAAATTGCATGAGAAAAGATATCCCAAAAGTACTGGAGTTTAAAGTGAAAACCCGTCTGTTCTTCAGTTCTGGGTTCCCACAGAACTCATCTGGCTTTCTGCCAGGAGACAATGGACGTGCTGATGGGGTCACGTCAATATCGTGTTTCTTTCTTCAGGCACTCGGTATTTATTTATGTAAAGCTGTTTACAGAATGGGAACTAGAACACCGCAAATGTTTGATTCAATACAGAGCAATTTCCGCGACATAAACTTTGGTAACATACTCTTCGTCAACAAGCCTAATAAATTAGCTTTTAGTGTCATCAGTTTATACAAATACAATTCTGACAAAAGAGGAAAAATGCAAAAACATCTCATATAGTACCTTATCTCTTATCCTTAGTACCACTGTGGATCTTTGTTGATTTGTTATTTTTGTCTGTTGTTGTAACCAAATGTTGTATTTTGGCTCCTACTAAAAATCTAAATATGCCTTTTTTCTCAGAATTTGACTCTTTTTTTAAATGTTACTTATTTTTTTTGATTTTGACTTTTTTTCCAGAATTTGGCTTTTCTTTTTAAATCATTTTGTGACATTCGCGAGACTTGCAATTATTTGGCCCAGACTTCTGCTTTCAGACGTAGTTAATTATGAAGTTATTACCCTATCTGATAATAATCCAATGCAGAGGCAATAATGTAATATAATACATTATTTTAAATTTATATATGTATTTTTATATAGTCTTAAAGTTACAACCGGCCCTTTGAGGGCAGCCATAATGCTGATGTGGCCCGCGATTACATTTAGTTTGACACCGCTGCTTTAATTCCTTCTCATTACTTGCCTCCACGTATCTTCCTTAATATACAAGGTCAATAGATAAGAATATGTATTTCTTCTGCATGGATAAACATACTGTTAACAGTGATGGTGATGTATTTAGATGTATTTTCTCATATATTTTTGCAATGACTAATATTTTATATTTTATCTTTTGTCACTTCTTTCCACAGAGATGATGTCACTGTGCAGAAACCTGGCCGTGCTTCTCCTTTTTCTGATTGCCTCGCCTCTCCCTCACTCCCACCTCTTCACTCATGCTACCTCTACTACCGCTCCCGCCACTCGACCTCGGATAATATTCCTGACTGGAATCGGCTCAGAAGGTGACGATGGCGATGACGATGGCGATGGCGATTACGATTATGGAAAACCCACAGTCCCTACTCAAGTGGTGAAATCTGCGCAAAACCCCCTGGTCCATCAGGCACCGAAGCTCTGCCATTACGACTTCTGCTTGGAGAATCAAGAGCCCTGTGACCAGATTTCAGCAAAGACTGGGTGCCTCTGTCCAGGGGTCAGTGGGGGGGATCAGCCTCCTCATTCGCCACGCATCCAAGAGCTGGTGCCAATCACTCGAGGGGGGGACAGAGGGAAAATAGAGATCAGGTGGTGTGCTCCGTCTTCTGTGGTGACTAGGTACAAAGTGATGATAGAGGGAGGTGAAGTCGTTGAGTTTGAGGATGTTTCCAGACGAGGTTTGGTCAGATCTATGGAAGTCGGGACCAATGTGTGTGTAGAGGCGGTGAACAGTGCAGGACATAGCATCCCCTCAGACTTCTCCTGTATGCGGTATGAGCACCGTGAATCTTCTGACCATAATCTGTTAGCTGGGATTATTGGAGGGGGGGTCACCCTCCTACTTGTTCTCATCATAGCAGCTGTGATCCTCTGGAAGCATCAAATGCGTCAAAAGGCAAAGAGAGACTCTGCTAATGGACTGGGAAATCCTTCTTACAGCACAGAGGGGACTCTGTGATCCACAGACAATTCACCCCCCGCCCACTGAACAGTCCCCTTGAGACAGGGAAAAATACAACAACAATGTAATCATGAACAACACACAAACAGTTCTAGGGTGGTAATATGATTGATTGTAGAATTAAGAAATTGTTTAACATATCTTAACATATGTGGGGAAAGAGTAGTGGTGTTCATGGAATAACATTATCAAATGGGCCATTTTGTTATTTTGTGGCTTGAACTACAGGTTTATTTGCTGGCGAATAAGCCTTTGTGGTTTATTGTAGAGTTGTCTCCTCTTATCATGGCTTAAATGTGTTGTAAATATATTTTGTGTAGAATATAGATTCTGACTCTTGTAATTAACTAAAACTTATTTTAATAAAAACTTCGTAAAAGCTCTTTGCTGATTATTATTTTTTCCTCTGAGCGTTTTTTGAATAGGCCTACAAGTTGAAGTGTGACATTTTTTATGAAGAAGAACATTCATCTTAATCTTAAATATACATTGGCACCAGTTTTATGAAACTTTACCTTGGAGTCTGATCAAAAGTTATCCAAAATGTTAACTGTAGGCAATATAACATGCTTTTCATCATTCATTGAACCCTTGTATAATGTATGAAACCATATATTGTCATTGTTCTCCTCTCATTTATTAATTGTGTAACACTGTCATCCATTTGTGTGCAGAGGTGAAATAGTTTAAGCACAGTGGCTTTGCTTTGATTGAGTAATTTCCTTTTATGTCACAGTATAATTCTCCACTACATTTCAGATGGAATCTACATCATTTTCACTCCCCTACATGTAATGAGTGCTTTAGTTTATTTTCCCTTTGCAGATTTAAAATGTAAATTGGTAAAACTATTTATAGAATATGGTGCTTTTTTATAGAATAAACTATTCAACAGGAGAAAACCTCTACGTTGACCAGCAACATACAAGTTAATGCATTAATAATATGTTAATAATATGATACATATAGAATAAGACTCTGAAAAGGGCAATAACATTGATATGGATATTGTAATACATTTTGACGATATTTAACTTAGTTATATTTTGAAAACAGGATTGTTTACTGTAATAGATTATGATCAACATTGTGCTATCTGTTCCTTCTTTCAACTGAATTCTCCTGTCTGTTTTCTTTTGTTTGTTAGCCAACTTCAACTTTTACTTTGAAAGTCCTGTAAAATCCCCTCAAGTGGGAAGAAGATATAATTGGTCAACGGCTGCAGATTTTCAAGCTAAGTCCGGCCTTCTTTAGGTGTCTAAGCCAATGAAATGTCAGTGAACACATAACAAGGAAGAACTATGGTATAGTTATTTTTAACATATTGAAATTGCTTTCACAATTCAGTAACATTGACAAGACATTCATAAAAGCAGGATGGCGACGAGCTCAGGTGAGTAAATTTTGACTTCTCTTACGGATGCAGTTATAAAGCAGTTATATACATTTAACTAACAGCAGTGTGTTTGAACTTTATGGACGTCTTTAAACATCCCAAATGTTGGCTGAGAACCTTTAGTTTAAATAGTAGCTTATTTAAATGTCGTATTAGGATTTCCCGTAGTTGTAAAATGCACCTAAAAATAAACCAATAACATTACATTAAAGTGAAAAATAAATAAATATTAACCGAAACGGTCTTAGCCGAAGCTTAAACGCGTTATACCAAACGCTGCCCTTTTTACATATAATTATCTGATAGGCAACCCTTTCACTTCCAGGTAAGGAAGTACAAAAACAAAGCTTGATAAACAATTAACATCATACCTCAGTCTTATGTTTTTACCATCAATTATTTTTTCATTTCACACCTACACATAATATATTACTTGTTTCAACCAAATGCATTCCTAACTATTTGTTTCTTTCTTTTATTAAACAAACCCAAAATGATATTCGGGCACTTTTTTTATTTCAAACAACCTCTGAATAAAGTTAAGAAGCAACAATAATGTTGTGCTTTGTATTATCATCTGTGTAGTTTTAAGATTGTTTAGATCACAATATTAATCAGTATTAATGCAAGTAAAATTGTCTCGTGGACAGACTTGTCTAACTAATAAATATTAAATGAAGACAAATCTCCTGTATAGTAGTTATAAGACTCAATGATTCAGAATGACTCAGCAGAAATGAAACGATTATCATGATGAGGTGTAACCTACCTGTACCCTCTGGGAATGCCAGAGCTGTTACTCAGGCAACAGCCAACAAACCAGTTTCATAATTTCCCTCTCCAATGAAGTAAAACATGCTTGCCTGCCTCCCTGCCGCATCAAAGGCATTGTGCCTGTACTTCTATTACAAGCACTCACCACTACCACACTAAACACTAAGAAAAAGTGCAAGCATGAGGGAGCAATCATCTGGAGAGGAATGTCCCCTTAATATTCAAAACAGACATCTAAATCATCACTGAGTCTTTTTTCCCCCAAGCAATTTAAAACCAAATGTAAATGTAACCTGATTTCCTCCACTTATGCTTATATTTATACTCAACTCAGGATTTCTTCCACTGATACCAGTGCTTTCTTTCTCCACACATTTTAAATCAGCAGAATACTTTATTTATCTTAGGGTACCATTAGGTGGTTAAATATGTACACCTCCCTGTTTGCTGTGGCATAATCTACTGTATTTTGTGACCGTTTGTGAATATAATGATAATCAGGTTGTTTGTAGAGTAGCGAATAATAGGGCCTGATAAATCAAAAAGAAAAGACAATGTTGTTTTTATATTCATTTATGTCCTGTGATGGACATGATGATCTATGATGCAATACAAATATATGTTTCTCAACTAAGGTGAAGGGATTCCAGCATGTTTTAGCAGCCTCTTTTACGAGTCAAAGGTGCAGTTTTATGGGAGTATTTAATAAAATCCTTATCAGACGATAACGTTTTTGATGTGTTTCCTGTTGCATTGCCAGTAACTAAGGATATTTCCTATGAGGATCTGAAAGCCCTTCTGGGAAAGAGTCAGAATCTGCTTGTGGTGGATGTTCGCACTAAAGAGGAAGTGGATAAAGGACAAATTAAAGGATCTGTTCACATTCCAGGTAAGTTTCCTTTGTACTTATTTATATGCAGGGGTTCAAATAAAATCAAGGTAAAATATATAGTATGTTTGCCTAATACTGAACACTGAACTCTTATTGTGCATACTGAATACCCAAGTTTGTTATCCATTTAATCCTAAAACATTTTCTGCCTCTCTCTCCTCCTCCCTTTCTTCTTTCAGTTGATACAGTAGAGGCTGCTTTTGCGATGGCGCCAGAGGAATTCAAGGCCAAGTTCGGAGTAACAAAGCCACCGCAAGATGCGCCAGAGCTGGTGTTTCACTGCCAGTTGGGCATGCGAGGGTTAAATGCCACAAACAAGGCCCACCAACTGGGATACGTGAAGTAAATAAATTATTGGTTGCTAAACATTTTAAGTAGAAACACAAACTCACACACACACGCACACGCACACGCACACACACACACACACACACACACACACCGACCATCTTGCTTCTAAGACTCCAATACACTCTTGAACAATTGTCTTTCCTCACAGTAACATCGCCTGACTTTGCTGGCCGTGTTTTATGTCATTATATGTGCTTACTGGTCTAAAAGTGTGCCCCTGTCTTCTGTTTCAGTGCACGTAATTATGCCGGAGGATACAAGGAGTGGTCTGAGAAAGAGGGGAAATGATTTATGTTGAAGGAACTCTTCATATATATGTATACAAATAGCAATTGTGAAATCAAACTAAATGTTTGTTGTACTGTTTTGTTTTCATAGTCTGCATCATTGTATTAAACATGTATGAATATATATATATATATATATACAAATAAAATAATGTATGTTATCTACTGTTCAGATTTCCATTTTTTTGTTGGGATCATTTCAAGGTGCCAAACATCCAGAAATGCAAAAACGGAAATAGCACTTTCGGAATCTTTTAAAGATGTGCACATTTGGTGGGATCTAATGTAGGTCGAAACAGATTGTAAAAGGTAAGAACAGTCAGCTGAGGAATACTGTGAGATGTGGTTAAAAGCCGAAGAAAAAGCAAGAAAGTGGACTTGAAGTTAAGATCATGTTGAAGCTTTGGGTGGCTTAAAAACATGATTAGGAGCTTGTTACTACGATCACACACATACAGTTTAGTAAAAATGTTTATAACTTTGTACTTTTTATTACCAAAACTAAAAATATATTATGCAGCTGTGGATAGTTTATAGATGCAGTTGTGGAAGAAGAAATCAGATTTGTTACTCAACTAAAAGTAGAAATACTTAATTTACTTTGTTACAACTAACTAAGGGTCCTGCATTCAACAACAAAAAGTATCAACATCAAAATATACTTTAAGTACCAAAAGTAAAAGTAGCCTACCCCTTATGCGTAATGGCCATTGTTGAGTTAATGGTTACTATTATGATGAAGGGTAAATGTAGAACTAATTTGAATAACTGTATTGATGCTGGATATCTATATAACTCATCTAGGTTTTCTTTGAGCTAATAAGCTAAATATAAAAGTAACTAACAATAGCTGTCAAATAAATGTGCTGGAGTAAAAAGTACAATATTTGCTTTTAATTGTAGTAGAAGTATAGCATAAACTGAGAATACTCAGGTAAAATACAAGTGCTGCAAATGTGAGTAAGTACATTTACTTAAGTACAGTTCCTACTTAAGTAAATGTACTTTGTCACTATCCATAACATAGGTGGTACATTATTTAACAGAGAAACATTATGCAGAATGCTCGTTCAGCGCGCGCCTTGCATTGCACTGTACATGAAGGATGCTCAGAGAGATACAGCAGGTAATATTTTAAATAATAAATATTATCGTTAGAAAACAAAACGTTTTGTACGTGTAACTATGCTGATTAAATTACAGATAACCTCAGCTTGCAGTTATTTGTAAAATAGAGCTAGCAAATGTTGGAAGCTAGCGTAGCATATTTAGCTAAAGTTAGCTAAGCTATATTTCTTCTACAACTTCAGGTGCTGCGGTTTTTAACGCTTTTTGGAAATAAACGGCATCAAGATGGTTTGGAAGCGAAAGGAGGGCTTTTAGTACTTCTATGGACGGACACAGGAGATTCATTTCAAAGTCTAAACTGTACTGGTGAGTTAAAAAGCACCCAAAGTTTGTTTATAGTTTTGCTGCTTCATCAGGATGAGCCACCACCAGTGGAGTTACATTGTCTTAAATTTGTTTTGTTTTTCAGATAGATGTTTATAAAAGTTGAAACATAAAGGGCATACATAATTAAATAGTATTCTGATAGATAGAGATAGGCTTGAATACCACTATGTACATATAGCACGTGTGAAATATAGGTTAATTACTGTTGAAAAAATCCATCAAAACACATTATAATAAGCTGTCGTATCTACAAGCACATTCATACTACTAAAAACAATATAGAGACATTTATTTTCTTTCCTATAATCAAACACATTATTATTTATTGGAGGTTTATAATTCACTTGCATTTTTCTTTCACTCAAGACTAGTCATTTTCATACTTCCTTACAGCTGTGCATTCGGAAATAATTTAAAGTAATACAAAAAAAATGGGCATTTTAAATGTAACATCTGAAATTACTGATGTGTTAGTCACTGAATTCCAGAAAAATCTTGCATTTCATTTCAAAAGGGGATACAGATCTTCTTTTTAATAAAGACATGATAAATTGGAAAAATAAACTGAAAGATTAGAAAAAGACTTGCTCGATATCAAAAAGTAAACTCAAAGATTAGAAAAAGACTTGCTCGATATCAAAAAGTAAACTCAAAGATTAGAAAAAGACTTGCTCAATATCAAAAAGTGACCAGCTACCGTTATCTGACATATGATTAAGTGTTGTAACAGTGTTCACATTGTGGTGCAGTTGCAGCGGCTGGTTGCTGGTGCAAAAAGATTAGCAAGGAACTCCAACCTGGTAAGTATACACAGATCTTACAACTTCCCACACGACTTCCGCTTCTGTGCACTCCATCACTTTGATTTACTGTGTTAACCCTCACAGCTTTGAAGGAGAGCATGTTTTCCCGTGCCTGTCCTCCACCTGACCCTGATGAGCTGTGTGCCTTCATTGAACTATACGGTCCAATCAGATTGCTTCTGTCTTTTCAGGTACAAAGAACTGTGATATTTTTCTATAATATCTGGTATTACTTAGTAACCTCTTTGTAGGAAGAATGTCCGAAGAAATGTGGGAGGGATCTGATTTTAGTAATTTGGCCAAACTTACTAATTTTTTCAATTATTAATGCTACATTTTTAATTTAATATACAATATCTGTCTATTGCTTGCACTATACAGATGAACGATGCAACACTTTTCCGTCCAGCGTTGTGTGCTCGTATAGAAGTGTTTCTACACAAATACAGTTTGGCTAACCTAAGGGTAAGATCTGTTTTTCTCTGACATGTATGATGATGTATGACATGTATGATTTTAAAATAGGTACCAAATATTTGATCAACCTTCTTTTTCGTAGATTAAAACCCACTTCAAGTTCAAATTCAGCCAGCAGACCTTCCAGCGAGACTTTAGCTACGACAACAGGTATAGTACTCTTACATCTGGCAAATTTCACACCTGTAAAATGACCGCATCGAATGTATTCAAAGTATATGTTTGACAAAGCATTCATGTTTTACAGAGTTACAACATAATCACAATCAAGGGCTAGTTACTCAAACCCCCTCTGCCATGTGTTTTTTTAAGTAACTCTATGTACATATTCTTGCAGAGCGAAAATCAAGAATACAGCAATTGGAAACCAATGGTCACTGTATCTGGATGTCACCTGTAAAACACAGTCAGTAATACTGTTTAATATGATTTAATTCATGTTTGTTTGTGTGGATCAATGTTAACAGAAAATAATCTAATAGGTTTGTAACTTCATCTATAAATGCAACACAAGCATTTTGATAATACAGACGCACTCAGGTATGCTTACTGTTATTTATATATCATATTTTTGTTGGTTTTAAGGCCTCCAGAGTGTGTGAAGAAAGGACGCTGGTGTCATGGAGGACACCCGCTCCTCGGACGCTGGTTGCCCCTCAGTGTCCCCCCTGAAACCATGGACCAGGGCCTGTTTGGGGAGCTCAGCATGCAACCCGTCACACTGCTGAGCCCCTGTGTACTGCAGTACCCTAATCTGGCAACACAACTCACACACATCCAAATATCCTTTGCTGTCTGTTTGTGATTTTTACAGCGTGTGTCTGTTGTGGTGGCTGCAGGACCGTGTTTCTTGAAGGCGGAGTGAAAAAACAGCTATTATAGAGAGGGATGAAAGGAAATATTGTCTATATTTAGGGGGATAACTGCATATCTTCCTTGGTTTTGATCCAAACGTATTCCCAGTTGAGCCTAATTTTCATTGGATGAAAACACAACTATTCTGTCCTGAGATTATTTTATAATGTTGCACCATGTTGTTCACATGGAAACTGCAGAAATAGTTATTTAAAAATGTTTACAAAGGAAGCACGAGTTCAAACGCAGCTTACCTCCGTTTTGGGAAGCTACAAATATTTTCAGACCCAGCCCCCTAACCCCCTGTGGAGTTGCGTTCCAACCCTCAACTAAGGTCAGTGGCTTTGGGTTATGACCAACGCATTGAAATCACACATGTGGCCGGAACTCTGCTCCTTCTTTGTGTCGACATGGTTGATCGGCTCTGTCATCTGATCTGGATTAGTGTTCCTTGACTGCACGGGTCCAGGTGTTGGTGTACGGCCCCAGTAATGTTCCTCTCACAGGGCCCTCCATCTTCTTCCAGAACCTCCCTGCTAATCTGGACTGTCAGGACCTGGGGCTGTGCGGCATTCACTGCTCCTCCGTTAAAGGTAAACAACAACCACTGATAGGAACAACGAGTACTGATGGTCAGGCTACATTTTGGTGATTCACTGAAGGAACTGTCAAGGTTTTTATTGAACAAGGTCATTCGAGTCCAGGACAGTTAATCCGGTCTTAAAAGGGACTTTCTGAAACAACGGATGAGGCGTGAGTATAAAACTAATTTAAACCAGATTTGTTAGAGAGTGAGCACAGCCGTAGCCTGAAGCCACCTATAAAATCTTTAATGGATCATAGAGGCTCATGATTTGAGTCCTATACATGAAACCAGAGAGAACAATGGAGAGAAAGAAAAAAACACATACAGAACACACTAACAACAAATAATAAGTGACAGCACTTAGAGAGACGAGGCTCCAACACTGCACATCTGGGCTTCAGTGGTTAAAAGGATTGTCACTGCATTTCATAAATCTCACCAATAAATCACTTCCACGTGTTTCCAATCCGAACTACCCATTCACGTTCATTGTAAACAGTTAATTGTGTTCCAAGAAGTAGTTGTTCCTTCACATATTATCACCATCCACAAAGATGTTTGGGTTCCAGAAAGGGTTGACAGGGTTTGTCCCTTCGCACTCAGATTTGTTTAGAAATCACTATTTAAAACTGCACTCAGTTAACATCATTGTTGCTTTTTCAATTTAGATGACTCAAGTAGAAGTAAAGGTACTAAAAAAGCAAACACTTGAGTACAAGTAAAGGAAAACGACTCAAGTAGTGAGAACCCAGATTACATCTATGCATTATGTTCAAACTGGTTCAAACATCAAAGCTGTTATTTTCGTTAAAGTCCCATAACCACAACCCAACAAATAACAAAACCCTAACACTGTTTAATTTCCTAAAACAAAAACCAAGGAAAACACTTTGTGTCACTTATTAAATTCTTAAAAGGAGATGCTTCCTGTATCGTGCTTGTTTATCGTATCTTTTGCTGTAAATCCGTCAGCTGATTTATAGGTACATTTATCAGTGGAAGTAGCAAGAACTGTGAAAACAGTATCAGAAGGAAAACATATGTTTGAATAAAATCAAAAGAGTTGTGCAAAAGCAATGACTCTTTAATCCAAGAAAAGACCCATAACGGAGTAAATTGATTGAGTTACCACAGGTATTCACATTGGCATATAACTTTGACCATGATGTTTTCCTCAGCTTATCTAATATCTAATCGTACATTGATCTTGCTTCAGTTTCTACGAGCTGATCTTTAAAGAATAAAACAGTTGAATATCTCCTAGGAGTGAACATTAATGTTGTCTAACATGTCAAAAAAATATATGGTTGACGTTATATTTTTCAACTGCAAAATACTGGCACATTAAAAAAGTATATATTATATTGTTATTATTAATAATATGTATTGTGTCTCAGTGAAATAGTCAAATGATTCCTTGTGTGTCGGGACACCAGTCAGCCTTCATGAATGTTTAATTTGAGCATCAATTTAGTCTGTTTCTCTTTCTTGCCATCAGTTAACGAAAGAGTTAACTTGAATCTGTGATTAATCTAAACAACGTGTAAGCGAGCTGAATTCAGTAAATCTTGATTACAGTTAAGAGGCACTTGTGTTGAACTAAGCTTAATCATCACTAAAGAATCTCTACCACTCAATAATTGGCTGATTTCTCAGAAAAAAGTTTCTTGCAAAATTACTGTTTCTTGTCCTTGTCGCTAACACAATGAATCACATCCACAAGTTCAACCACAGGACTGTGAACATTACAAGAATCATCATTCTTAATACCGAAAGTAAACTAATACAGACTCATAAACCATTCTGCTCTGTCGTAAGGCGGCTAGACAAAAGATACTGTTGCAAACAATAGATTTTGGTTTATTTTAGCCCGGAAATCGACAGGTATTCAGGTTTGAACAATGAACATCTAAAAGAAAACTCTGAATTGTTGCTACTTTACACCAAGGCAAGATTGAGAAAAAGTCTGTTAGCTAAGTGAACTCAAGTTTTTAAACTAGATCTGTAAAGCCAAGTGTTGAAACAATTACTTGCCCATCCCTAGGGTGCGTCTGCCATTACCACAACGTTACGTACATGCCGTATTGTTACAGCCCATCGCTGCACCAGTGTGGACTCGCAGTGCTTACTTTTTAAAGTGAATATCTCACTAACAATTATGTTTTCATACCATTCCCTTCTCATTTATACTTTCAAAACATATGTTTTACATATTTTGCAGACGGCGATGGCACCGTGTACACAGTAGAGCAGGAGCAGGAGGATCTGGAGCAGGAAAGTGTCTACTCGATACAGCAGAGTCTCCTGCTCTATGTCTTCCTGCAGCACGGGGACCCCTTCGCCTCCGAGCTCTCTGATATGCTGGGTGAGAGACCGCTAACTGTACAGTCACAAATCATCATGTTGAAGTCGGTCTTTGTTTCATCTCCTTTGCTGTGTCTGCCATCCTCCCACAGCCACAGAGGTGCTGATACAGCGCCACCTGGAGGATATTCTGAACAACAACAGGCAGGCCGTCACAAGAGCCCTGCAGACCGAGCTGAAGGACGCTCTGAAAGCCCAAAATCTAAGAAAACAGGCAGGTCCACCTACACAATAACTGCTAGAGAGGAAATACATTCAATCATGTATTGTAGTGTTTTTCCCATGATATTAATAATTTTACATAAAAGTGTTTTTGCCTCAGCAATTATTTGACTCATTGAAACATAGAATAGTAGATTTTTCATTTTGTAATTATTAAGCAAGAACAGATGTCAAACTTTTGCAGGTTGCAGCCTCTCAAACATGAGAATTTGCAGCTTTTATCTGCTTTTAATCATTGAAAATGTAATATATTTGGGATTTTAGGCTGTTTGTTGGGCAAAACCTTTACATTTGAAGACAAAACATTTGGGCTCTTGGGGATTTTAATGTTCATTTCATTATTGTATGACATTGTATAGATTAATCCAATCAATCAATGCAAATAAATGATAAATACGCTTTAATAAAATGTTGATGTGGGTCCTGATGGTCTATGTTTGGATGTTCAGAGCCAACAGAGGATGCGTTCAGCAGCGAAGGTGATTCTCAGTTCCTCCATCAGTATCGTGAGCTCCAGCTCTAACATGGACTTCAGAAACGCCTGTCTCAACAGCATGAAGGTAGGAAACAAATAATCCAAAAATATATATCTACAATATATTTATAGTTATTCCTAATATAAAATAACTCCCTTTCACAACTCAAAAGGCCATTGGCTTAACCTGTTACCAGGTAATTTGCTACACTGTGAAAACACGTGTTACATACAGGAATATAAATCAACATGTGTATATCATGTGACAGAGGTCGTGTGTGTTTGTCAGGTGAGGGACACTCACGACCTGAGCGCCTCCCTCCATGAATCCCTGAGGAGGGTGACATCGTGGAAATTCGCTCCAAAGTGCAGGTGCCCCTCAGCTCAGGTGAGTGGGACGTCTGTCACCATAGCAACAGTTCAGCAGTTCTAGACATATGATTATTATCCACAGTCTGACACCACGTTGTTACTTTTACAGGTAGAAGAAGAACCTGAGTGGGAGGATCCCACCGGAAGAGAAATCTGAGTTGAAGGGTTTGAAAGGAGTTCACAAGGAAATTATTATTTCTGCAGTTCAATGTGTGCCAGTAGGGCTTGTGTTAATGTAGTGGTGATAGAAATAGAAATTCACTTTTTACTAAAAAAACAAAATGTATCCTTTCTTATCATAGTTTGTGTTTCACATCAGATCTTTTTTTATAAACACACATTTCAAGCTGAGATTTACACTGAACTGAAATTGTGATCTGAGGTGATGTTTTTACATTTTTTATATGTACCCCTCAACAAACAATGTAATGTTACTTCTACTCAACTTTATATCAAAGGGAAATATTTAACATTTTAAAAATGTAAAGATAACTTTAGTAACTTTACAAATGCAGTTGTACTTCAATGTGTACATTTGTATTGAGACTGTAAGGTTGCTTAATATAGTACTGTACTTCACGCTATTGTTTATGAGTTTAAAACAAGTTAAGCTAGGCAAACAACACTGGTTACTCATTGAAGTATTTCGAAAATTAAAATACTCGTGTTCACCGCTAGATGCAGTCGAAATCTTTTATTTCTTGGGGCTGCTTACTTCCGCTTATTATTGTTATGGGATTTGACGTCAGTTCCGGCCGCCAACACCAGCAGCACTTTTTCGCGGTAAAATGAAATGAGCGCCTGGTGTTTTATTCTGCCATCTAACACAAGGATAGCTGCAGTAACTTATATTTAAAAATCGCATACTAAAGCCAAGTTGATATTTATCGTTGCTATGAAAAGAGAGCAAAGCTAACGAAAGCTACCAAGGTATCTGTCCCCTCCATTACTACACAATCTAGTAAATATTCAGCACAAAACCATGGCTGTGGTGACCGGAGAAAGCCTCAAATCAGAGCTGGAAATGTTCGACATATCCTGCCAAGATGACACAATCCTCGACAAGAGTAAGTTGCTAATGCATGCTTATTGTTGTCCTTTTCTAATAAATAGCGTCGCCTATAGCTAAGAATAACAACAACCAGCCAAATATTCAACATTGTATAACGTTACACACTGTTAACGTTATATGTAACATGTCTGTTTGCTGTGCTGTAATGGAAAATAAGAACATTAACTCTGCTGATCTTTACTTATGTACTTATTTTGCTACTTTATACCACACTACATTTTGAAAACAGATATGACGCTTTTTTAACTTCATTTCATTTATTTGACAGCTTTAGTTATTTGTTAGTTTGCAGTCAGATTATTAATACAGACTATAAAGCAACTGATAAATATTGATAGACATCAGCTCCATCTTTACCACCTGCAGTAATCAATTAGAATCCGGTAATATAATGTAAATGTTTATGTAGTAAGTCATTTTGCATAATGGCTCATTTTCTTTTGGTACTTAAAGCATATTTTAATGCTAATACTCTTTTACTTTTACAGTAAGATTTTGATTGATCGACTTTTATTTGTACTTGCAGTATTTCCGCATTTCCATGTATGATTTAAATGTGCTTTATTCAAAGTGATTGTGGACTGTATTTGATGTCATCTTAATTGCTACATCGTTTTTGACCTGCCCTCCTTCCTATCCCTCCTCTCTCCTCAGTGGTGGAGCAGTGCATTTGCAACAGGATACAGGCAGATGAGATGGTGCTGGAGTGGGTGGCCTACAGCACAACCAAAAATGGACTAAAACTCACCACCGACACCCTGGAGTATTTTGAACATGAGGTAAGGATGACATAAATTAATTTGTCTTTTTGTCAGGGATGTTGTGACTCTGGTTGTTGTTTACTTAAACATGGCCCTTTCTCGGTCAAAACACTGTCCCCACTCTCAGACAGGGCACCGAATGTTGTTTTCATACCCAGATCATTTTCTTGGCAGGTGTTGAACAAGAAGAATAAATCCAAACAAAGCTTCAAAAAAGAAGAAACTCACAACAGAACCAGAGACATCCACTCGCTGCAGGACTTGTATCCTTCACAGTGAACTCGAGAAAAAGAGCCTTGAATAAAACGTATCTGTTGTCTGTCATGAGTGTATGGAATGTCATTATAAGTCAAGCTTTATTAATATCGTACTTTTTACAACACAGTAACTAAGAGCTTATGACCTTAAAAACATATTAGTTTATTAAGGCTTGCCAATAAAGAATTTCACAGTCCTTAACATTATTTGTTCAGAATCAAAGCTGAGGAAGAGGAGGAGAACCTACTGGACGCTTACTCTACCCCTGCTAAGGTAAGCTGTAGCTTCTGATTACAGACTATTTTTCTTTTGAGGGATTTACATGTTCAGAACAAAATTATGATGTTGCAGGACCCTGCATTTAATATTTAAAAATGTATAGTACTGTTTCTTTTTCATTGATTTTAATGAACATTTAGAAATACAATTATTGAGGAAAAACTCAAATATTTCCAGCTCTACACTGAAGGTTTTCTGTGTCCCAGTGCCCGGTTTCTTCAAACTTTTCTAAGATATGAATTCAAAGTTCAAGAAAACCAAACGGAAATATAAAACCATTGAATGTGCGCGTGTGTGTATATAGGGCTCTCAGAAGCGAGCGCTGACCACTCCTGAGCACCCTCACTCTAAAAGAAGTGCAGCTCTGCTGACCAGCCCCGGCCTGCTGCTGTCTCCGGCCAGCTTTTCTCCCAGGTACCCAGCAACACACCTCCAATTTGTCCCCATAAGGGAAGCGAGTCCCCACACGTGACTGTGTAAACAGATTTAGGTCCCCACAAGTATAGTAATGCTAGGCCACACACACACACACACACACACACACTGAATAACATTTGACTGGTATCAAAATCGTTTTTATTTCAGATGAACCAAGGGGACAACCTCTCATTGTGCAGTGACATGATGATGTGTCAAAGTGGTGTCTACTATTACTTTGTTCATTGTATAAAAGTAATAATAAACGTATATGTCACTTTTCACACAAAACACAAACAGTAGTAAGTAGACCAAACATGCAGGATAAAGCATTTTATTCCAACTGACCTTTTTGTTTAATTTACAATTCATTGGCTTCTTTAACAATGCTTTAATGTGAATGCATTGCGTAATGTTGTGGCCATGAAACAGAAAGCAAAAAGGTGTTTGAACTTTTCCCTGAACCACTGGTTAGTTAGTGTAGCATGTAATGAACAACTTGTCAAGATAGACAATTTGTAACTGTGACTCTTACTTTCTTTCTTTGGAAGTTCAACACCGTCACAGAAGTACAGCCAGCGAGGAGCGAAAGGGGAGGTTGTGGTTTCTTTCGGGGCCGTGCAGGGGACCCGCTGGGCCGGCAGGAAGGAGTCAGGCGCCGGCGTCCAGCTGGAGCTCCTGGAGGGGCCCGAGGACTCGCTCCGCTGCAGCTACAAGTACATGTTCCAGAGGCTGCGAGACGTTCGAAACGGTGAGAGACACACTTCAGAAGCATGAAAATCATAAAAAATCATTTGGAGGAGAGAGTCCTATTATTTAAAATCCTCACAACACTGGTTTTCATACATTTCTATTTTTAAAGAATTAAACAGTATACAGCCTGCTTTTGATTATTATAAAAAATGTTCATGATTGTTTGAAGATCTTTGTTTCTATTTCCCCCAGTGTTGACGGAGAAGATAGAGGAGCTGGGCGAGGGACTCAAGGCTCACTTCAACATCGAAGAGTTCTCCCCGGTCTCTCTGCCCGCTCAGGTACCGACGTGATACTGCTGTGAAAATTCTCTAAAACCATAGAAGCCTCAAACCCATGATTTCCATAAGTTTTGAAAACATCATGGATATCTTCAAGTTGTAGTTTGATATTTTACTCAAGCAAAGTTGTATTCTTAACTAGGAAACTTTTTTGAAACAATAAACAAATCAGCATCCAAGTTGACTTAAAAGTATTGATGCTTAAACTTTGTACATTTAAATATGCTGTTGAATATTTCTGAACATCAAGACAAATGTAAGTCATGGTTTGTGTCCCTGTAGGTAAACATGCTTATCTTGACTTCATATAACATATATCGTCATGTGCACCACAATTGCTATTTTGCGCTGCCTTAAACTAAATACATTTAGTTTATTTGTATGATTGAAGTATTGCCTTTCAACTCAGTTTGGTGTGTTTTCTACCCCCCCTCCTGCAGGACAGTATCACAGTGCTGGGTCAGGTCTGCTGTGACAGTAACGGCAAACTGAACGCTCACTCGGTTCTCCTGGAGGCGGGTCCGGAGCAAGGCGGGCAGCAAATACCTGTGGACCTATCAGAGCTCAAAGACTACTCCCTGTTTCCTGGTCAGGTGAGCAGACGGGAAACCATCAAGCTACAGAAATATTTCTGGCAGGATTCAATGTGTCCGTTTTTATTCATATGTATTTGTAGGGCTGTACTGAATAGTTCGATGCTTCATTCGTAGCATTTGCATTTCAATTCTAAATACAAATGTCAATGCTGCACAGCTTCTTTTTCTGCATGTCTATTCATTGTTCTTAAACCTGGTACTTCAGCACAGTGGCACATTAGGTTTGTCATTGTAATTACTTCAAGTCAAATTGTTATGAAGAAGGATTGATTTAAAAAAAAAAAATTCGCAACATGTTTTTGTCGAATGGAATTAGATGATGGCATTTCATCTTTCAAAAACAACATTTTCATTGTGGTCACTGCTCTTCCAGACACACCTAACACGGTGGCCATCTAACGGCACCATACATTACATAAATGTTTCTGCAATAACAAAACTATACTTTTGAATAGAAGCTTTGAATGTAAAGAAATGACATTTGTTACAACCCTAATATTCTGACATTGTAAGTCTATAGAGTGCATTGTGTTGTGAGTGTGTATGATGGTGGTCTCCCCTTTTCCTCTGCACTGAAGTGTGTGTGCAGCAGGTTACACGGTCACCAAGAGCAACAGAGCATGCCAGGGACCTGGGCAGGAGACGACCCCAGCGTCCGACCGAGAACTCTGACAAAATGTATCAACAAATCCCACAGAAGAATAAATAGCCTCCATGCGCTGTGAATGAAACTCTGCTCTCTTTCCTCAGGTGGTAGTGATGGAGGGGATGAACACAACGGGAAGGAAACTGATGGTTTCCAAACTCTACGAGGTCAGCTACGAGTTATAAAAGTGTTTTTCTTAGTTCTGAAAGATAATGCCTTCGGAAAGCAACATTCAGTTGAAATAGAAATCCCAATATGAGTTTCTCAACGTTTAGAACTGTAAATCGTCTTGTCTTTTTCAGGGAGTCCCTCTTCCTTTCTTCACTTCTGAGGGGAAAATGGAGATGAGTGAAGGTAAGTGATGTTGGTTGTTAACATTTGTAACACTTTCTGTAATATCTGAAATATATAGGAGGGACCGTGCATTCTGTTTGTGTCAAAGTTAGTTTTAGTTCTTTGTTTCTTTAATGTCAATTATTTCATACACACTCTTCCCCATGCGATTACAGAGCCCTTGAATGTGCTGGTGGCATGCGGACCGTACACTCCCTCTGACAGCCTGACCTTTGACCCCCTGCTGGACCTCATCAACGTCATTGTCAGGGACCGTCCTGATGTCTGCCTGCTGGTATAATCCCTTTCTTTATTTTATTTTGACTGCATCACAAGCAGCTGTTCTTACACATGGAAAAACGAATGAATCAAGTCCTGATTATCCTTTCCTCTGTCACGGTTAAGTTTAACATGCAACATTTCTATATTCTTCCTTTTTCTTCTCCAGCTGGGCCCTTTTGTGGATTCCAAACATGAACAAATTGAGGTGCGTTCTAAAGTGGACATTTTGTGTCTTTATCCCTGAATCCCTCTGTATTTCGAAAATCCAAAATCAATTCAGGTTGATGTGATTCCTCCAACATATTAGTTGATTGTGTCCAGGGGCCTCATTTATAAAAAGGGATATACGCTCAAAAAATGGCGTACGGCAGTTTCTACGCAATGTTTGCGATTTATAAAATTCTAACTTGACGGGAAAACGTGCGGTCCTCCACGCAAACTCTAACCCATGCGTACGCACTAAGCACAAAAACGGGAGAGACGAGAAACTGCGACACCGTTGGCAGAAGGAAGAATGGAGAGAAATATGTGGAAATAATACCATAAATAAAATGTTACCTCTCATTTATCATATATGAAGAATTCATTTTCAAACATTGATCAAAGCCAATCTTAAAATGATTAAACAAACGCCTGTTTGAGACTCCTCAGTGCACACAAAAACATAACTTGGAGAAATAAATAAATACGGATATGTTATTTAAAACCACCTCGAATATGTTGTGTTAATGTTATGAAATGTTTTCTCATAAATGATGCGGTAAGCAGGAGGACAGAATTACGTCTAAACTGACGCCGTGTTGCATTTCTATAGGTTGTAGATACGAGCATGGTTTTATATACTATCATGTTTAATCGTGTTTTATGCCGTTTGCCAAGACTTGATAAGTCGCTCGTAAAACACAGGAGGTATGGAAACTAAGAGCACCATATGTGGTAAATGGTACAGCTAATATAACACAACACATTAGTTGTATTTCCTTTAACTGCTGGATTATGGATATATAGTTGCTGATCGACAGCTGGGACACAAACCACCAAATACAAAAACATAATTCAGATCCAGTCGTCATGACTCCACTCCGGAGGGATTCCCCCATCATTTCTTACAGTTTCTCATCAAGGGGGGGGGTCTCTGTCCCCGGTACAAACACACTGCCTGAGGAAGGCTATGTGTATTTTGTCATGAACCTTTTTCGGACCACTTATTTATTTATGTTGGTGACGATCCGACCTCCATGCTGCTACTCTGGTTCAAACTGCATCCACCAAACAATATGATTTATCTCACCTCCCCAAAATAACCAGAATCTGACACGGTGTGAGATGTCTGTTTTAGCTGTTCTGTCCTCATTTCCTGCGATCTTCTCCATGCAGTCAGTCAAAATGAATGAATGGGCATTTCTTTGACTATTTATAGGCAAATATGGGCGTTACGTGAAGCCCGCAAAAGCTGCACCGCATTTCGAGTCGATTGTGATTTATAAAGGGAAACCGGCGTAGGAAGTCTCATACGCACTTTCCTCGCCGGTACGCAATGTTTTGTGAATCGGAACATTTCAGAACATTTCTGTACCTATTTTTTGGATTTCTACTACGTAAGCAACCTTCCCACGTGAATCCTACGCACAGCGTTATACATGAGGCCCCAGGTCTGTTGCTGGGTAAAAGATGTGACTTAGTGAAAGGGGAAAATAATATATTTACTTACATTTCTGTCCTCTTAAGGTACAAATGTACTAAATGAATGGCAGGGTATTTTAATGAAAAGCCTTTTTGCACGATGTTTGTTGACCTTGTGGTAGTCCTGAGTAATAACAGAAAATGAAAGACTGTTAGAGAGTGTAATGTTACCCTTACTCTTTTTCATTTTAGAAGTTGAACCTCTGCTACTATAATACCAACAACGTCCCTATAGCAGGGGCATACTGTGAACAAGACCGGCTTAAAAAGGGTCCAAATTCAACATTTTTGTGTGATGCATGTTGACCTCCTGGTAGTCCTGAGTAGTGAAGTCCCAGCAGGAGGGGTACAGGGGTTTCCCAGAATGCACTGCTTGCTGCAGGGTGTGCAGAGGCTGTTCCCCCCCGACATCTCGACACTGCAGAATCAGACCGAAAGCATCCGCCAGCTGAGAGGACACCGGACCCAGATCCTGCCAAAGAGAGAGGAGAGCGGCTTCAGAAACACGTAACGAGACTCAGAAAGTGACCTGAATATAAAGTAGTCTCTGACAGTTATGAAGTCTATTTACACCCTTTCCCCTCCCTGAAACAAACAGCTCTAATTATCCTCGGGGGATCTGCTGTGCTGTCATTTTGTCAGGGAAGGGCACTTCCTTCAAACAAAGTTAATTGTCTCAATTTCCTGTTTTCTCTTTACTCTACAAACAGCATGAGTTCAGTGAAATGGGCCTCGTTCAGCAGCTTCAACAACAAGCATAAAACGTTTTCACAAATCTTCTGAGACTCACTACATTGTTTTCTTATATTGAATTGTTCTAAAGAAAGGAATCTACTTGAGAGGACATTTGAGAGTAGCAATGTTTGTGCAATATAAAGGGTTTGGCGGTTCCTAAGGGATCCAAACATGCGTGACTTTTGCTTCATCCGTATAGGAACACGGGTGCACACAGTCCTGCAGTTTAGGAAGTCAACATGGCTTTCTTAGGACCTTCCACAAGAACACATGTAAGAGAACATGTGTTGTGAATGAGGCCCGAATAACTCACTGTCTTGTTCCAAACAAGCTTAAGTTTCACTGAAAAAACACTATTTACTTTCCAAACTGGTGTTGAATTATCTAAACATGAGTGACCTTCGAACCCACCACAGTTCCCAGCACAGCGTCGGCACTCAGGCTCCGTTTGGAGGCGTCTGATTGGTCGGCGAGAGCCCAGAAGCTGCAGAGAACCGGGAAGGAGATCTGCTGATCGGCATCTTCTCCGTACTTCTTCCCCGGGATGAACAGCAACACCGAGCTGCTCTCCAGAACTGACACAACGTGAGAACATTACTACCTTATATCACACTATCTGCTTTCTTTTATGTTTTCCACTATTTCAACAATTACACCGTTTATACATCTGAGAAACAAACAAAGTGAGTAGAAGCAGAGTGTCTACAGAGGAAGCTCCTGTTAGTCATCCTGCTGCAGGATGAAGACATACAAGGTCATTCAGTAATTTACTCACACAGATCAACAACATTCTATGTACACACACACATGTACACACACACACATGTACACACACACACACACACACACACACACACACACACACACACACACACACACACACACACACACACACACACACACACACACACACACACACACACTGTACACACACACCCATTTCCAGGGTGAAAATAAAATAATCAAGTAAAACAGATACAATTTGAGATTTATAATGAATCTCTTTTCAGGATTCAAGGCTTTTATTGGCAGCAGCTCCAGTGGAGGTATGAACATGAACATCTGAGGTCACAGGTTCCTCCAACAGAGCAACACAATACAACAGATAACAGTGCAAGTAAACACAAATAAAATATAATAAGTAGTGCAAGAAGAGTCTATATACAAGTGATTGGAATATGATGTATTAGATACATAATGTGTAAGTTGCAAACAGATGAAAACTTGCAATCTTCTTACAGATGAAGGCAAGAGTGGAAAGGTGATTGTTGTTATGGATCATTATGTCATTCCAATTACTTTGACTCTGATTGCACTATTTCTATTCTATTTGTTTTCATTTGTATTACTTGCATTATTTGATCTGTTTTCATTGTGTTGCTCAGTCGTTCATTGATATATCCACACTGTAGCTGCTGTACGAAGGACAATGAAAGCCTTGAAAGGTGGATGTTCTTTCAAAAGTTCAGGTGTTTAACAGTCTTATGGCCTGTGGGATGATCTCTTTGAGTCTCTACCTGACTGGATGGCGTCCAACTTGTCCTTCTTGTATCCTCCCAGATCTCCCAGCATGCAGACTCCCCCCGTGGCGAGCAGAGAGGAGCCGGCGTGGATGTTAGCGGAGCCGGAGCCGAGTCCGTCTCGAGAAAGAGAAGCAAACATCTCTCCTGACGCCTGATGTCTGACTCCACGACTCGCCAACTGCAAGCTGTACGTCATCAGTCTAACGACGGGGATTTAAAGCTCTGCTATTAGACTACTTTTAGGCATCTAAATCACACTGTACTTTTTTTTAATATTCAATCTAATATTTAATAATACATTCCTTGCACAATTAATATATAATATCCTTCTTTATATTTTGTTACTGGAATCACATGTATATTTTCCACATGTATACTTTTTACTTTTTTTATGCTATTTTATTTGTATTTGAGACGTTTACAATTTGGATTGTTTATTTCTAGTCTTTTAATTTCTCTAATGTGCAACGCCTTGTGTTTTGATGCTGCTGCAACTCAAACATTTCCCACATTAGAATCAAGAAAGTACTTCATATTTGATCTTATATATTATAGGTCTATAAAACATGTCTGAAGTGTTCTGCTCCAAACACCAAACAGATCCTTCTAGCCTCATCCCCCTCTCTCTCGGCTGCTACTAAAGAGAGGATTCTGGGTCTAAAGCTTTATCAAATAAAGTCAATTAATTATACGGGCAGATAATCAGCTAAATGCTGCTGTGGTCAAACGCATGTTTCATAGTGTTTTCAGGATGTGCACAGCTTACCTGTCCAGAATGAGAGAGTCAGTGGTGACAGCGAGGAGATCCAGGTTGTGAAACGTCTCTTTTTCATCCACTCTGTTCTGAACCAAGCTGAGCAATAAGGCCAGCTTTAAGGTGTTATAAAGACCCGGAGGAGCCACGCTCAGCGCGAAGCAGTGAGACAACACGGCAGAAAACCTCCAGCGAGAAGAAGATGTGACTTTCAGAAGCTGCTGGAAACTCACACTGACTTCATGTGGATCTGAGGAGGAGATAGGAGACACGGGAGATGTTTCAAGATGATAAGGATCTATCTATCTCTGTGTGTCCGTCCATTCGTCCGTCTATCTATCCATCCATCTATCTATCCATCTATCCATCCATCTATCTATCCATCCATCTATCTATCCATCCATCTATC